GGGGGGGGGGCAGACCAAAAATATAGAAACGAGAAAGGCGCGTCGCGTCGAGTGAGGGAGTGTTGGTGTGGACGTGGATGACAGACATGGATGTGAGAGTGAGTGTGCTTGCTTGCTTGATTGCGATGCGTATGCAAGTACGTACGTACGTGTCCATTCATCCATCCAGCCATTCATCCATCCCTCCATTGATGTGTCTGTAGTGTTGGCAGAACAAGCCAAGCCAGCCGATCCAGTCAGTCAGTCAGTGGGCACGAACGACACGCGAGGCAAGTCAGGCAGGACAACAAAACAAGCGAGACGAGACGAGACGAGACGAGACGACTGCTCCCTATCTGGCGACGCATGCACGCACGCAGCCACGCAACGCAACGCAAGGAGAGGAGACGAGACGCACGCACCCACAAGGGCACTCGACTTACACACACGTGACGTACTCATAGGTGTATGCCTGTCTGCCAGCCTGTCTGCCTGTCTGCGCGCGTAAAAAGAGCACATCCGTCCGTCCGTCGCATTCATTGATTGATCGCTGATATCATGGCCTGCCTGCCTGCCTGCCTCTAACTAACGAGTCAGATAGATTCCTTCACAAATAGCCGTATGTATCCATCAGATACCTACCTAGACAGTCAGGGGAGGCGGGGAGGGGAGGGGAGGGGACGCCCACGATGGGCGTGAGGGGGTGATAAAACAAACGGACAGGACAACGGATGTATCGAAGGAGTGAGTCAGTGAGTGAGTGAGTGAGTTGGTCGTCCATCATCAAACAAACGACCAAGCAACCGACCAGCCAGCCAGCCAGCTCTCCTTCAGCACCCCCCCCAACCAGCACCCCACATCCCACATCCCACAAACGAAAAGAAAAAAGAGGAGAGGCATAGAGAGAAGACACCAAACCAAGCTTGGGGCTAACACGACCGTTGAAAAAATGCAGCGAAGCCAGGCAGGGCAGGGCAGGCGGACGAACGCACGGGTGGCGAACTCGCGAACCCCAGCCTGACTGACTGACGCCACTTTCAAATCGAATCGTGCGCCCATTCATTCATTCAGCCACCCCACCAGACCCCCATGCACCGCCCCGTTGCTCTCGCCTTGTACCATAGCAGCCATCAGCCATCAGCCATCAGCCACAAATCTCTCTCCCCGTACCTACCTACCGTCACACACAGCACTTTCACGCACGCACGCACGCACCCACGCAGGCCATATATGTCCATCAAGCCATGTCCATCGACGCCCCCTGCCTCCGCTGTCCCTCTCCTTCTGGCTGTTCGACCATGTCTTTGCTGTCCTGTCTGTCATCTGTCTGTCTGTCTGTCTGTGTGGTGCAAACAGGAGGGAAGAGGGAGTGGAGTGGAGTGGGGCCCGTGTCTCAATATGGAGACACATCGATCACAAACCGACAACACAACACAACACAAGACATGACCATCCTTCATCCCTGCCCACCCACCCTCCCACATGTACACCTCTCTCTGTCCCATCATCCATCCATCCACTCATCAGTCACCTCGCTAGTCCGTTCCGTCTGTGTGTATCTGGCTGTCAGACTGCGTCGTCGGTATCTTATTCGGATACGCCATCCCACCATCCACGGCCGCTAACACCCACACACACCCCCGTACAGCACAAAGACATGAATGATGTGATGCTTCCATGCATGGCCATGCAGACAACAACGCACTCGCTCTCAGGCTCAACACAACACTCTCCCTCAGGACTATAGACACGAGATGGGGGCAAGGACGACTTGAGGGGCAGGGGGAGGGGGAGGGGAGAGTGAGGGAGGGGGGGAGGGACGCGGTGTAGAAAGTGACGGTGAGGCGACCGACACGACAGGTTCCTTCCTTCCGTGCGGAGAACCATCCATCCATCCCATCGAGCACTAAAGAGTAAAGCAGGCAAGGCAAGGCAAGCACGACGGTCGAGTCGACGACGCACTCTCGTACGGATTTCGTACAGGCAGGCAGCCATCCATCCGTCCATCCATCCAGCCGCCCAACCACCCACCAGAGGGGCAGACGCGCCTGGCCTGCTGCACTCACTGCACGTTACTCTCTCCCGTCCATATGATACCCACCCCACCCACACACATCCAATCCAATCCATAGATAGCCAGACGCATGCCATGCAGATCTGATGATGGCATCAAAGGATTGATAAGATAGATAACCTCCCTCCCCTCCCTCCCCGCCTCTCCCGTCCGTCCCTCGCCCCCTCCACCTCCACCTCTCCCCCGTCAGGTCACGTCAGGCCACGTCAAGTCAGGACGTCGCAATCCACCTGAGTCGGGCCACCTCCTTGAACTGGTGTTGGCCCTCACGCACGAAGCACGTCGAGCTGCTGACCAACTCGTACAGGACGATGTCCCAGTCACAGCCAATCGCGTACTCGTGAACCTGGCAGACAGACACAACCAACGGTTGACACATCAATCACATCAACGCACAAATGGATCCAGAAACAAAGGGAGGGAAGCTCACTCACCCGTTCGTATAGTTTGAGTATTTGGTGCAGCGTGTCGGTGTCCCGCTTGCAGGCGAGCGATATGTGGTTGGCGCGCTTGGTGCGGATGCGGATGGCGCGGCTCGTCCGGCGCTGCACGCGATCCGCCCAATCGTCCACCAAATCCTTCACCCAACTAAATGACCACACACACCGACAGACAGACAGATCGTGTGTGTCAACACACAGCACAAGACACCAATTGACAGACAATGCCCTCAACTATTCAAGGAAGGAGTGTGTGGCCTTCCTTACCGGCTCTCTATCGGCAGTATGGCGTATCCGTCGTGTGTGGCGAGGGCCTTGTTGACCTTGACCGGCAGCTTCTGCAGGCGGGGCGGGTGCCCACTGGTCGACGAGTAGTCCCACGGCACGAACGGGTGCAGCGGCGAGAAGCCCCCCACACCCACACACGACGGCAGTATCGGGTGGCTCGAGTAGTGCACCAGCATCCCTGACATGGAGGCCTCATGCGGCAGCGCCTCATCCGTCCCCTCGCGGCCCAGCTCGATGTGCGTGTTGGACAGACACCGGCCGCCGCGCAGCCGGTCCGGCGACAGGGGCGTCAGTGGCGGCAGAGGGCCGGAGTACGAGTCGTCGGAGCAGGGCACTGTGGTGGCCTCGGATGTGTCGCTCACAGGGCTGAGCTTGGGTGTGAAGGCGCAGGAGGCCATGCTCGGCGTGGTTGGGATCAGGAACGAGTCGGACCCGGCGCGCAGGCGGTTCCCGAAGCCGACGCTCTTGGCGCGCATGAGTGGGGACTTGCAGTAAGAGCTGGGAGCGGTGCTGCAGCCGTCGGTCCAGCAGTCGGGGTATCCCTCCTCCCACTGCTGCAGGTCCTCGAGCTTCTCCATCATGTAGTTGAGGACCTCGTCCTTGAGGGCCGCCACCAGGTGCGGCGGACAGCTGAAGAAGGACGTCAGCGACACGTGCGGCGGGTAGCAGTGGGTGCTGTCCGCACCGTGCTCACACACCACCGCCTGAGACGTCTCGTTCAACACGCTCTTGAACGAGCTCGTGGCCGCGGGCTCCAGATACAGAATGAACTTGGACGTCTGGACGGTACAACCAACGATCACACACCCACCATAACAAAAGGTGCAGAGCAGATGGCCCCAGCCTGTCCCAATAGTGTCGCTTACGTTGCTTCCATTGCTGGCCGATGGGGAGGGCGACTCAGCCGACTTGCTGCGAGGCGGAAGGTCGTCGCATAGGATGGCGGGCAACATCTTCATCATCTCCTCACGCAGACAGACAGACAGACGAGCGATGGGTGGCTTGGCTGGGAGGGGTCGTGACTGAGATGCCGAGAGGGGAGTGCGGTAGGCCGTGATGATCCCGTCCACCACAGCTTAGACAGAGGAGCTAAGAAAATGGCTCGGAAGCGAAGATGGCGCAAGCAGCCACCCTCGCTCCCAACCAGGTGGTGCTGGCAGGGGCGTGGGAGTCACCCATCCCGTCGCAACACACGGCGATGGAGTGCTTGGGAGTGCTTATGGGCTGGGCATGGTAGGCTGATCCTTCCGCGACCTCCAGGAACGCCGGCAGGAATGGCGACTGCCTCACAAGAAAGCGGTTTCGCGGAATGTCCTAGCAAACCCTTGACTGATTGACAGCTCGCGAAGCAAGGGGAGCGGGAGTTCCCAGGGTCTGACGACGATGGAGGATCCCACAGCAAAGGCGAAGAAAAAGCTGGAGAGGCTGCTGAAGCTCAGGCAACTGCGAAGCCAGCAAGGGAGCCATGATCTTGATCTCGACGGTCCCTCATGGACGGATGGTGTGCCGAAGGCCACGAAGAGGAGTCAGCCTGCTGTCCCTGATGAGCATGAGTCAGCATGGGTCGTCGCCAAGAAGCAGCGGACGGCAGATGAGGATGACGACGCCATGAATGGTCTTGCATTCCCGTCCCCGTCTGCAGGCGATGCTGCTGAACCGAGGAGAAAGAAGGTGCGTCAACGGAGCAAGAAGCAGCAGCACGTGACGACAGAGGCCCAGGACCAGGTGGTGGAGCAGGGGGGAGGGGAAGAGGCTGACGAGGGAGCCATGCAAGATGGAACCGATGAGGACCAATCAGCAGCAGCAGCATCAGCAGTGGCCAACGGCACTGGCGAGGCGGCGGCGGCGGCTGGTGGTGGTGCTGATGCCCCCTCGTGTGGAGCCACAGGGGATCAGTCTGGCACCACCACGACCATGTCAGGTGGGTTCTTCAGCGACATGCGGTTCGACGAGCTTGAGATATGCGACCAGCTCAAGAAGGCTCTCAAGGACAACAAGTTCGAACAGCTCACCGAGATACAGGTCAGCCAGCCAGCCACTTAGAGAGGGCGGAGAGGGCGGTGAGTGAAGGAGTGAGGGAGAAAGCTATGTGTGTGTGTGTCCGTCTGTCTGTCAGGCCAAGGCGATTCCCCATCTGCTGGAGGGCCACGATGTGCTCGGAGCGGCGCAGACGGGCTCCGGCAAGACGCTGGCGTTCCTGATCCCCACCGTGCAGACCCTCTATGAGATCAAGTTCCTGCCCAAGAGCGGGACGGGCGTGCTGGTGAGGGAGGCACCACACCAACACACACACGGCCGCAGCGCAGCGCCTGTGCCATACACACATTCATATGTTTGTTTGTTTGTGTGTTGTCTGTGTGAGTGCAGGTGATATCGCCCACCCGTGAGCTGTCCCTGCAGATCTATGAGGTGGCCAAGGACCTCTGCAAGTACCTGCCCCTGACCCATGGCTTGGTGATGGGCGGTGCGAACCGCCGCAACGAGGCTGAGAAGCTCGCCAAGGGCGTCACTGTGCTAGTCGCCACACCGGGCCGCCTACTCGACCATATGCAGAACACCAAAGTGAGTGAGCAACACACGATGGATGCGATGCATGGGCAGGGCAGGGCACCGCTATGTATGTATGTTTGTGTGGGGGTGTGGGTGTGTGTAGGGTTTCCTGTACTCGAATCTGGTGTCCTTGGTGATCGACGAGGCGGACCGCATTTTGGAGATCGGGTTTGAGGAGGAGATGAACCAGATCATCCGGCTGCTGCCCAAGAAGCGCCAGACGGCCCTCTTCTCCGCCACTCAGACCACCAAAGTGCAGGACCTCGCCAGACTCTCACTTACGAAACCCATCTACATCCAGGTGTGTAGGTATGGTATAGCCAATCCGACATCATCACGTCAGTCACGGCCAACACACCACACCCCCATTGAATGCATTGCCGTGTCTGTGTTGTTATGTTGCGCAGGTGAAGGCTCGCGTGGCGACGGTGGCGGGGCTGCAGCAGGGGTACGTTGTGTGTCCGGCCGAGACGCGTTTCCTGCTGCTATTCACGTTTCTGAAGAAGAACCGTGACAAGAAGGTGATGGTGTTCTTCTCGGCGTGCAACAGCGTCAAGTTCCACGACGAGCTGCTCAACTACATCGACCTGCACACCACCTGCATCCACGGCAAGAAGAAGCAGGCCGCCCGCCTCACCACCTACTACGACTTCTGCAGCGCACAAAAGGGCGTACTCCTCTGCACCGACGTCGCAGCCAGGGGGCTGGACATACCAAAGGTGAGCGAGGGAGGGAGGGAGTCTGGGAGAGAGAGAACAGAAAGAACAGAAAGAACAGGGGAACAACCTGCCTGATGCTTGTATGCTTGTATGTGTGTGTGCAGGTCGACTGGATTGTGCAGTACGATCCGCCCGATGACCCCAAGTGGGCAAACACAACACAACACTGACTGCATCTGGTTGTCTCTCTGTCTGTCTGTCTGTCTGTCTGCTGTATGTATGTGCCCTGCCCTGCTCCCACCACTCACACAGGGAGTACATCCATCGCGTTGGCCGCACTGCTCGCGGTGCGGGTGGTCAGGGGAAGGCGCTGCTGTTCCTCATGCCGGAGGAGCTGGGCTTCCTGCGCTACCTCAGGCAGGCCAACGTGCCGCTCAACGAATACACTTTCCCGCCACACAAGATCAGCAACGTGCAGGTGGGCGGTGCATGGGAGTCTCTCTGTTGTTTGGCTGTGTGTGGATGTGATGTGATGTGATGTGATGTGCAGTCCCAGATGGAGCGTCTGATTGAGAAGAACTACCACCTGCATCGGTCGTCGCGCGACGCATACCGATCATATCTCCACGTATGTAAATAAGACAGACAGCTCAGACAGCGGCACATGACATGACTGACATGCACTACCAGACGAATGAATGAATGAAAGATAGCAACACTCAAACCTACCTCTCTCTCTCTCTCTCTGTGTGTGTGTGTGTGTGTGTGTCAGGCTTATGCGTCCCATTCGCTCAAAGACATTTTCGACGTGCAGGCACTGGACCTCCAGAGAGTGGCCAAGGTCACCACAGACAGACAGACCAACACACAATCACGTGCATCTAGTCGCTCCTTGTATGGCTGTCTGTCTCATGCAGTCATTCGGCTTCTCCGCGCCACCCAAGGTGACTGACTACCGGACACACCCACACCCACACAACACACCCACGCACCGTGTGTGTGTTTGTGTGTTCATATGATCGATCAGGTTGAGTTGAACGTCAAGGCCAAGTCGTCTCGCCACACCCTCAAGGCCAGCGGCGGATTCAAAGGCAAGAAGCCCACGTCGGGACACAAATTCTCAGCCAGCAATCCATACGGTATGCCGGCTGACCAGACCAAACGACGCGCAGCCGACCGATCCGATATGTATTTGTTTTGCACCCTCTCTTCGCTGTGTGTGATGTGTGGTGTGTGTGTCTGTTAGGCAAGCGCGAGGCGTCTGACAAGAGGCAGTTCTCGAGATAGTGCATGCACACAGTGAATGAGGGCTGGCTCGAGCAAATAAATCAATGGGTTGTGGTGTGGCTGGTCGGGTCGTCGAGTGTTGGTACCATTGATGTGTGCGAACGAAGCTGGTGGGTCTGTCTGGACGTGAGAAGAGTGAATGGACCGGACTAATTGTCTGTCTATGGACGGGACGGGGTGACTGACAAGATCGAGTGCATTGACAAACCCTTAATATTTTACTCCGGGAAGGCAGTGTACTGCAGTACTTCCATCCATCTCAAATGTCAGTCAGGGCCACTCACGTAAGAAAATGCACGGATGTCCGTGACGAAGAAAGTCGGACAGCGATGGTACGTATGAGCAGCGAGCCGGCAAGAGGTTGGGGCAAGAGACGCTGTGCGTGTGTGTGCAGTGCATTCGATGGATTGAGTGCTCTCATCCCCTTACCCGGCTGCACGCATTCTCCATCACTCACTCCGCCATGGCTATGTGCCTGGATAAGTACAGTGTACAGCAGCGGCCGAAGCGGGCCGAACGGAGAACACGGTTTGTCGCCCCGACGCCTCTGCAGCCCAGAATGTTGTGTACCGTGTCGTCGTCAACTCTGCGATGGATGAGTGGTTTCAGGCACAAGCGAACACATCCAACACTGACACGACCGTCCAGGCATCGCATACACAGCCATGGCTACACGAATCACTTTGCCGGCCCTTCACATGCAGATGCGCCTGGGCTCTACCTACTTGCAGTACAAGAGGCAGCTCTTCGTTGCCTCACACAGAGACTCTGACCTCTCCACGCGGGCCCTCCTCTCCTCAACCACACCCACACCCACACCCACACCCGCACCTCCACTGACATGCGCAGGCTGCTGCTGATGCCCCGCCATTGCTGAGGCTGCGATGGTCCTCTCCACCTCCCCGCTTGTCGTGTGCATGGGCGAGAAGAGACCCACAGGCCTGTGCGGCATCTGTCTCGTCCGTGTCTCTCGCGTGGGTGTGTTGTCTCGAGACGGCTGGGCGGCAGACGGGGGCAGATACCACCAGATGAAGGGGGCTGCGTCGTGGGTGCCAGTGGGTGCTGGTGGTGATTCTGCTGGTGGGGGTGACTGCGGAGTCATCATAGCACTCTGATGTCGCCCCTGTTGTGTCGCCCCTGTTGTGTCCCTCTCAGCCCTCCATTCCCCGCCACTTTGCTGCCCAGTTGCCATGTCTCCTTCCCTTCTTCTGTCGTACGCGGCCTTTTTCGCCTCTTCGGGCCGCAGGGGCGGGGGAACCAGCACCTGCCTCACACCATGGGGCTGCATGTGCTGAAATGAGTCCAAATGTTCCTGCTCATCATCATCTGACAGCTCGATACTTGCCGGTGCCGCAGACGAAGCCGGCCCCTCATCCATCCGTGACGCCCCCGGGTGCAACGGGTACGGCCGCGGGGGGCTCGTAGGGAGCAGGTCCATGTCATCGGCACCGCCCCCCACCCCATTGGGGAGACACATGGAGTAGTCATGATACTTGTATGGGACGAGCTCGTTGATGATAGGGTCGATGCGGCTCTTGATGCTCGGACACACGCTCCAAGTGGATATGCCGCCAACGGACGTGTGGCCGGGGCTGAGGATGCGTATGCGAGGCTCCGAGGGAGATGGAGCGAGGGTGCGCGGCCTCAGCCGGGAGGGAGGGGAGGGGAAGGTGTATGTATTGGGGGGGATGGGAAAGGCGGCCGCTGACTTGGCTGACTTGGCTACTGTGGGTGGCGTGAGAGGGGGGAAGGGAAAAGGCTGCTCTGGCGGGGGTATCGGTGGTTGTTCGGCAGGAGGCCCGACGTCGACGTCTACCCGTCGCGAGTCTCTTTGGTCGGTGAAGGACGGTGTTCTCTCCTGAGGCGCAGCCTGCGGCTGCGGCTGCGGCTGCTTCCTCACGTGTCGTCTCAGCAGCTTCAAGGGCGTCTTGGCCGCTTTCTTCCCCTTCCGGAGTGGCCTCTTCAGGGGCCTCTGCCTCTTCGCAGGCGGCGGCTTGCGCTGCTGCGATTCCTGGTGCCTTTGAAAGTAACACCAGAGGGGCGTCTTGACGCTGTCAGCCGCAGCTGCCTGACGCTGTCCGTCCTCGGGAGCCTCCCCTCCGTCTGCTTCCGCTCCCACGGGAACAAAGAAGGCCACGCCGCCGCTGCTCGACAGGCCGTCGGGTGGAGCCAATTTGTCGTCAGCATCCATGTGCCGGGTCATCATTGATGGGGGCAGCTGCTCTGCTACGTCTCCACCGTATTGCGGGATGTGGGACGGTCCCGGAGACACAGTGAGAGGGCTGGCCATACTCGCCGTCTCCGGCGAACGAGACTCTGACCTGAAATATAGACAGAGTCAAGACCATTTCTACCCTTCGTAAGGGGTGTGTCTACTTTGCTTATCACGGCAGCCACCAGACCTGGCAGTGTACTGTGGAAAAGCAGCAGTGCGATCGACGCCCCTCCTGGGGCTGCCGGCTGCCGACCGTGTGCCGCCCCTCCCATGCACATTGACACGCACTCTGACATTGCTCGTGGGACTCAGCTGATGCTCCCACTGGCAGGTGCCATGCGGCAGAGAGGGGCTCATCGAGGGAGACTGAACCGTGGTCGGAGGGCCGTCACGGGGCGACCGGGTGGCCCGCACACGCACAGAGACGGAGGGCGTGCTCACACCAGCTGGGGTGGTTACTGGTGCGGGGGTCGTGGCTTGCTCGACCTGTGGAAAGAAAGGGCCGAGAATTTGTGGTGGGTTCTCCGGAGCATGTGCTGATTGATAGATACCTGTTGCTGTTGTGCGGCAGCCAGCTGCTCTTCCAGGTACCGAATTCGCTGCATCATCTCAATCATGGCTGCCTGAGCCGATGGGTCGGGCCGCGGAGTCACGGGAGACACCGCCCTCTTCGTCGCTGAGCGAGATGCGGCCTTCCCGCCCCTGCAACAGATGGACACACAGATAGAGGTGCCAACAACCACAACACTTGGCCGGCACGTTCCGTTCAATGCCATCTCACCTTTGCTGCGATTTCTTCTTGACGAGAGTGGCCCTCTTGGCACTCGATGCGCGACTGGAGACGCTTGCACCCGAGCCAGGTGGGCGCTTCCTGATGGTGGTGGTGCCCTTTGCAGTTTTCTTGGTGCGTAGGGGTGTTTTGGATCTGTGTCTCTTGGGTGTGGTGCGGCCCGATGAAGGGCGAGAGGGGGATGATGAGGGAAAGGGGCCGCGGCGGTCTAGCTCCTGCTGCAAAAGGGAGATCTGCTGTGTCTGAGAGAGAGACATGCAGACAGGAAGAGACCTGTGTGTGTCATGTGGAGCTCGTCCCATCTCTCCTCTCCTCTCACTTTGAGCATGAGTATGCTGCGCATCTTCTCATTCTCTTGCTCCAGCCGGCTGAGCGCCCGCTCCAGCCCCTCCACCAACTCAAAGTCCCTCTCACCGCCATAGCAGCTCTCGTCATCCCACCCACCTAAACCTCCCGAAGTCCCCCCACCCCCACCATTTGCAGATGACGCCCCCGACAGATCCCCCCTCTCTCTCTGCTGCAGCCTCCGAGCCATCTCCCGCAGCTGTGCCTCGCGAACCAGCAGTGTCCTCTCGGCTGTTGAAACCCTCTCCCTGTCGCGGTGTTTGTCACTCCAGCCAGCCGCCGAGGCGACGGGTCGGGCACGAAGTCTCGCAAAAGGGGTGGCTGATGACGAGAGAGATGGAGAGAAGAAGGGCCCCTCCTTGGCGAACGGTGAGGAGATCAGGGGGTCATCACACACGCAGCGGTGCGGGGAGGTGACGGGCTGCTGCAGCCGTGACCCGAGAGTGCTTCGCGTCCCCTCGCGAGTCGTCGTTCGCAGTGTGGCTGACAGGGGAGGGGAGGGGGAGTACATGGCGGGCTGGTCTCTTGTTCTCGGCGACAGCCCGACGGCCGGCTTCGGCACCAGATGTGTGGCGGATGAGACGGAGCAGGGGGTGGGTGGAGGAGACTTCGGCTGGGGAGTCGGAGACGGCGGCGCGTTCTCACTTATAGATGTGTTCGCCAGGTTGGGTGTTCCAACTCGGGAAATCCGGGCTAGACCGTCCAGCGCATCCGCCAGCACATTCAGGAACTCACCTGCACCACAGGCGAAAGATCCATCGAATCTTCCTGCCGTCTCGTGAAGCCTCACCTCTTTGCAGGTGGTTATTGTCACACTCGCCCTCGAGGAGGCGCGAGAGGCTCTCGGCCTCGAAGCCCAGCGTGTCACAGACGGACCGAATCACCTCCTTACGCTCCGACGGAGCTCCGGTCCTTTTCCCCGCCGGTGACGTGCCAGACTTGAGAAACGCTGAAAGGGGCATCTGAGGGACGTCAACGCCGATGCCTTTGAACGTCAGTGTCCCAGCCATCTTCTCCCTGGGGGCTTTGGGGGGTACTAGGATTGGGTTAGGGCTGGGCTTTTCGGGGCGACGAGCTTAGCCGCTTCCTTCCCGTTTTCTCTGCTGATCTCACAATTAAAGCAGGGGCAGCAGCAGGGCACAGAGAAAGAGTTGGAAGACGTATGCCGCCGGCGGCGATCTCGCTCTTCTCCTCCTCTCGTCTGCTGTCGTGTGGCGCTGCTGCCGTGTCCTTCCTGCGTGCGTTAGTGGTGCTGGTGCTATAGTCGTGTGTACGTCAGTCTGCCCAGTCAGTGTGTCCAAGTGTCTGCCCTGCCCCATCTCGCTGCCTGCGTCCCTGTCGGAGCCGGCCTCTATTCTGCGTTATCTATATCGTCTGTCTGTCTGTCTCCATCTCGTGGCGGCGCCCCTCTGCTCTGACCTCGACCGACCATTTAGCGAGTGGCGCTGCTCTCCCCGTCGCGCCAGCAATTCGACTACAACACCGGCTGAGCCGCCATCTCGCGCCTCGTTTCCTGGTGGGTGTGGAGTGCAGTGCAGTGCACGACACAAAAGAGGAAGAACACACAGGGCAGGGAGGCCGCAGACAGAGCAGAGCACACAACGGCTGGCTGCAGTGTTTTGCCAGATGTGATGTGAACTGCTCTGCTTTGTGGCTGCTTTCTTTCTCTGCCGTGTTTTCTGTTTTCTCCTCTCGGTGTATCAGGGCGGCGGCTGTTGGTGGTCGGATACTTCGGTTCGCTGTCCGACCGTCCAGCGCGATGATGCACCCTCCCCCCTCTGACATGCCCACACCGCCAACCAGCGCCTCACACGAAGGTACGCGCTGACCAACCACAGGACAACGGACACATCTCTTCACACCTATGTGTCGTGTGTGTTGGTTGTGTGTTCTTCGGTCGGACAGTGCCTCCGACAGCCCCGTCAACGAGTGAGGCGATGCAGCAGCAGGCGTCTACCGCCACTGGAGGTGGCATGATGGGCGGCCCGCCACACGGGGCCGGGCCGCCTGGTGCGGGTGGTGCGGGTGGGTCAGGGTGTCCGCCTGTGGAGGTCAAGCTGTTCGTCGGACGAGTGCCGCGGACCATGAACGAAGACACACTACGAGTGGTACGGTACCTCCTGTGCACGTCGATGGATGGGTGGATGGATGCGGGCGCGGCTGGCTGATTGGTTGTGTCTGTGTGTGTCGTGTGTTGTGTGGGATGTGTGCAGATCTTTAGTGCGTATGGCGATATCACCGATGTGGCGATTATACGGGACCGGGAAACACAGGCGCACAAGGGTACGTACCTCCCCATCCATAGACACAAATGAGTATTGTCTGCACCTGCCTGTCTGTCTGGCTCTACTACATGGTGTGTCCACCCACTATTCAGGTTGTGCGTTTGTTCGTTACGCGAGCATCACGAGTGCGGATGCTGCGGTGCGTGCGCTCAACAACATCAAGGTGCTCGACCAGTCGCTGGGGCCGCTGACCATCAAGTATGCCGTGGGCGAACACGAACGGCTGGGGCTCCCACTCGACAACGCACTGCCTGGCGTCGACCAGGTAGATAAATAGCATTAATTGCAACACACACACACCGCACCACACGCGGCGCAGCGAGCCGGGCCATTGGGTGTGGGTGTGTGTGCGCATACATATTCTATAGGCCAAGTTGTTTGTGGGTAGTTTGCCCAAGACGACGACTGAGAGTGACATCCAGCGGGTGTTTGAGGAGCACGGCACCATCGAAGAGGTCTTCATTATGAGGGACAACCTCAAACAGTCAAAAGGTCGGTCCACCCTCTTCCCGAGCCACCCATGCGCATCTCTCTGTGTGTCGTGTGCTGTGTGTGTGTCTTGCAGGGTGTGCGTTTGTCAAGTTCGCTTACAAGGAGCAGGCATTCTACGCCATCCAGCAACTCAACGGAAAAGTCACTCTCCCTGTACGAAGGAAATGCTCACACCACACCACAACACACCACAGCGCTCACGATGCCTTCATTTCCTTCTCTCTCCCTCTCTGCCCCTCTATATGCGTGTGTGTGTGGCTATATAAATATCGTCAGAATTCGGATCGTCCCATCGAGGTGAGGTTTGCGGAGAACAAGCGGACGGCGCTGAGCAAGGACGGCGGGTCGCCGTACGGCCAGCTCCCCGGCATGCAGGAGATCGGCGCAGAGGCCATCCAGCCCTACCCACCCACACAGGCCACACCACCCGCCGCACCGCCGTCGGTAAGCCAGCAAATCAAGTGAAGTGAGCCCGCTCACATGGACCACACGGACCCGGTCAACCGAAGGTGTGTGTCTGTGTGTCTGTATGTGCAGCCGTGGCGCGAGTACTTCACACACGAAGGACGGTACGCGACAGCTACCGAATCGAATGAACAGACAGGGTGTGTCAATGTGGTGTGTGTGCGTGGTGTGTGTGATGGGTGATGGGTGATGCAGTCCGTATTACCACAACCAGATGACGGGCGTGACTCAGTGGGACAGGCCGCCCGAGATGGACGCACCCCGGCCGGCACCGCAATACGGCGGCAGCCACCTCGCGCAGCGGGGCGCTACCGCCATGAGGGTACTGTACTGACCCACATGCCGACACACACACGCATGAACCGACCGACGGCGGCTATGTCATCACGACCACTGTCTGTGTGTGTGTGTGGTGTGTCAGTTGGGCAATGTGCAGCTGAACGTCTCACCGACGGCAGCAGGGTCGCAGACACACGGGCCACCAGGTCAGAAACAACCACCAGACATACAGACAGAGAGGGGTGGGTTATCACACGTGTTGTGTGTGTGTGTGTGTGTGTGTGCAGGTAGCAATTTGTTTATTTTCCACATCCCCAACGAGTGGTCGGAGAATGACCTCATCCACCACTTCGCACACTACGGACACATCATCAGGTCTGTGCACACGGCACAACCAACACGCTCACACAACCACAGACACATCCGTTGTCTGTCTGTCTCACGCATGCAATGCCCAGTGCCCGCATCACGACGGACAAGGCGACGGGCCGCAACAGGGGGTTCGGTTTCGTGAGCTTCGACAACCCTGCGTCTGCCGCCAACGCCGTCATCGGCATGAACGGCTTCTCGGTGGCTGGCAAGCGCCTCAAGGTGCAGATCAAGAAGGGCGAGGAGCACTTCTGCAGCGACCCCCGTGCAGCACCCGCACCCCACATGTTCGCCACAGCCGCACACCCACCCACAGCCACCTCCTCGCAGGCGCCATCCTACCAGCCACCTGTCGACATTCAAGCCGGTCAGTCAGCTGCTGAACCACGCCATGCACAGACATGGAACTCACTCACAGGGAGAGCAGAAATGCGTGTGTGTGTGTGTGTTTGGTCTGCAGGTATGATGCACCATGGTGCGGCTGGTGCGGGTGGAATGCTGGGTGCGGCCCAGATGATGCCGGGCGGCCCCCACTACCCCACACCAGGACCCGAGCAGTACGGCGGGGCATACTCATACCCAACCATCAGACAGTGAGATGGATGGATGGATGGATCGACACCATACATATACACGCACCCCCACAGCATGTAGATGTAGATGTAGAGGGAGGGAGGGAGGGAGGGATGGGGCAGGCAGACATGTCGACGGAGAGGCAGGCATGGACAGCCATATATGGGCGGGCGGGCATTTTACCCCATTTGGGTGGGTGGATTGGTCGACCGTATCGTATCGTATCGTAGCATGGACATCCTATCGTCTTGGATGGATCTATCGAATGTAATGGAACGGATAGAGCTTGGCGGCGCCCTCGCATCCCCTGACGGCCCCTGACGGCCCCCTTCGTGCGCGCTATTCTATCTATTATCGCGTGCGTGTGGGGCCGGGTGGGCCGCGGGTGTTGGGCGCCCCCTGCTGTGAATATATATCTCGGTAATTGCTGAGTGTGCAGAGCTCCATACGGACTGGCTGGCTGGCTGGCTGACTTGCTGCTTAGACAGATAGATGTCTGCCGACTGACGGAAGGGGGGAGGGGAGGGGGAGGGAGGGGGGCGCTGCGTGTGGAGAGGAGGGCATCAGGGAGAGAGAGAGAGAGAGAGAGAGAGAGAGCGTCAAGAGAGCAGTGAGTAGCTAGACCGATGAGGAGAGAGTGGGCCTCGCCATGCCTTTCAGAATGGCGTGGCGGGCGATTCACCATCCCATCATCCATTACATGCATTGCATTGATTGGGTCGGGTCCATCGATATCGGTTCCGACACGGCACGGCACACACGCTGGTCTATTTGTTTCGGTATATGCGTACGTACCTGCATACACATACACACACACACACACACACAGATACATACCTGTCTGTCTTCATGCGTCAACTCACTCATTCATCCATCCATCCATTCATTGATTGATGAGTGCCGTGCCTCTGGTGAGACACACCGGAGCACCGCCTCCCAGCACAGTTGCCTAGTTCACGGTAGCTCGCGTCCCATCCCATCATGAGTGTTTTTTTATCGCCCGCCTCATGGAGCTGCCTGTTGGCCTGCCTGTGTGCACGCGACAATTGATGGTCCGACAGGTGATGGATGAATGGATGGACGGGCCACGTCCAGTGTTGTGTGTCTCCGCCTTTTCCTTTTCCTTCTAGTCGTGGCAGACCCACACTCAACCTTGTCATGCACTCATCACCCATTGAGCGTGCGACATGGTTCTGTGTGCGTGTCCGCGAGGGGAGGAAGAGGGCTGGCTGACAGCGAACACCACAGAGAAAAGCGTCGGTCAGCGGCTGGTTGTTTTGTGGCTTGGCTATGTTATCTTCCTTATTATTCACATGCCGTGCTCCGCTAGGTCGATGTGCATGGATGCATTCACGCAACGCGCCCATGCCGCCCACCTTCCTGCCTGCCTGCCTGTGTTCCTGCTTGTGTGCCTGTTTTGTGTTGTGTTTGTTGTGTGTCGTGCCCACCGCCCCGCTTATAATTTGCACCCATTCATCATTCGGCCCATCCACGTGTGTGTGTCTGTGTGTGTGTGTGTGTATTATGAATGTGCGTGTGGTGTTGGGTGAGGGAGGGAGCATGTCGGTGCCAGTGGGTTCCTCGGTCAGTCAGTCGATGTCGATGGGTCTGTCTCTCACGTGTGTGTGGGAGAGAATGATCGAAATCGGTCGCCCTCTCGCCCGCCAGCTCTCCCTCTTGTGTGCAGCTAGCCTCCTTGCCCTGTTGCCCCTATCATCTATCTGACAGTGCGTGCCTTGCCTACGTGTGCGGGGGTGCATGGCATCCAAACGTGGACGGGATGGTCGTCGTCGCTTATTCATCTGTCTATGTGCGTGCCTGTCTGTCTGTCTGTCTCATGATGAATCGCCTCTCGCTTTGCATTCCCTTGTTTCCTTCTGTCTGTCGCTCTCGCTTAGGTGTCGGCTTCGCTGCCTCGCTGCACCGCTTGTTTGGCGCATCATTGCCTGCCTGTCTGCTTGGCTGTCTGTCTGTCTGTCTTGTCTGTGCGGACTTTGTTATCTTGTCTGTGCGGACTTTGTTATCATGGTGGCTGCATGTACGGCTACGGCCATCCGTGTATGTATTTATCTTATCGGAGGCTTGGATCATTTTCGTTTCTATCCCATCACTCCGTCTCTCTGTTGTGTGCATGCTCTCTCATGCGCCTAGTTCCATCTCTCTTGTGTGTGTCTATGTTGGAACCGACCGTACACATCTGAGAGGCAGAGAAGAGCCCAGTTGGTGCCATGACTGGATGACTGGATGGATGTTCGTACGTACACCTTCTTCCCATTCCCTTCGTGGGCCTCTCCGTCTGTCTGTCTGTCACGGGCCTCGTTCGTTGGCTCATTACGTGCCTCTCTTGCCAAAGGTCAACCGTTCATTCATTTAGATGCAGAGAGCTATGCTGCATACATGTTCTCACTCACTCGGTGCTGTCCGTGGCCTCCGTCTCTCATCCGCTCTTGGTCGGTTTGTGGGGGGTCTCTCTCTCTCTCTCTCTCTCTCTCGCTCTCTCTCTCTCGCTCTCTCTCTCTCACATGTGTGTTTGTCCTTGTGATTGACGCGTCGCTCGTTTTGGATTGGGTGGACGAGCAGGCAGGCTCACGCTGCATGACAAAGATGTGTTGCATTGCTCGCAGGTCGGTCGATCGGCCCGGCACACGCACTCACGGACGCAGAGAGAGAGGAAGGAAGGAAGGAAGGAAGGGAGAAGTATGTATTTACGTACACGCATCCATGTGTGCAACTATCTGTATGTGTATATGCATACATGTGTGTATGTATGTATGTATGTACGTGTGTGCGTGTGTACGTCTACGTCTGTATGTGTACGTGTATGTGTATATGTATATGTATGTGTGTGAATGCTATATGACGTGCCTCTTCGTAATTACATGGATAGATGTATCACCTTCACGAATCGCCTGGCTCTGTCTATCTGGGTTTCCGTCAAAAGGGATGGGGAACCACCGACTCGTGACCATTCGACTTACTCCAGTGTACGTAGTTGTTTTGTTAATATGCTGCGTGTATACATGCTGACGACTCCATATACGATGCATTAATGAGGGGGCCTGGCTTGGTCTTGCGGAAAACGACTTGTTTCTCTTCCCGGCTTGTTCCTGCTGACTGATGGGTTGGATCGCATTTGAATGGACGCCCCGTATCTGTCCGTCTGTCCGTCTTCCCAGCCTATCGGTGTCTGTCTTTGTTGCTGTAATTTTCTATCTCTCTGCTGTTCGTACGATACCGTGTCGTGTGACAGCCAGCCGTTGAGGGTGGTATTTTTTGTACTACAAGTGCCTAGTGAGCGGACCGAGCGGCTGCAGGGTGGCTTGCCTGGGCCTGATGCTATGGCAATGGCGGCCGGGAGACGCGACAAATGGCTGGCCTGTTTGCGTCTAGGTCTGGCGTGTGGCTGAGTCACCATTTGAAGGGCGGGCCTTGATGCCATCGATGGATCGATCGGCGAAGGATATACCGATGGAGAAATAGCTGCCTGCCTGCCATCTGTGTCGCGCCCCCTCTCTGCTCGGTCGTGCGCAGCCTTGTGTGTGCTGTGTGTGTGTGGTGATAGTTGATGCTACTCGTGTATGTATCTCATCTTGGCTGGCGAGGAATGGAATGCGCTGAGGGGGCGGGTGGTGACTCTATACATATGCTTAATGGATACAGTACATGCATGGTTGGCGGGCGACCAACTGGGATACCATAATGTACACAAGTACTACTGTCTGGGATGGGATACACACGTGTGTGTGCGTGTGCACATGCTTCACCCATTCATTCATTCGATCACTCATGATACCTACACATACATACATGCAATAATATTACATTACGCGAATTGACTGCTGCACGCACACACGCGTCCTTCCCTTGCGTGGAGTTGCGGGCACGTCTTTTCTGTCTGTGTCAGTCAGTCAGTCTCTTCCCTCCCTTGGCTCTCTGGTTGTGCAGCGTCCATGCGGCATACGTGGTACATGCACACGTAAAGCACACCGTGACGGAGCCTTCATTCCTTCGGTAGTGTGCGCCCGCACGCACAACACATGCACCACATGCTCACACCGACGTACGCGTGGGTCTGGGCTTGCTGCACCGTACGCGCATGTCCATCCTTACATGTAGTCAGTCGTCAATGTGGAGGGATGGGCTGTGATGTGTCTGAGTCAAGTACGACGGTAGTCGATTTCTTCTGATTGATGTGCACGGTGGCTGACTCTTCTGATCTTTTGTGATACGGACGATGCACGGTACACACCACCACTACTCAATGATGCTAATTCATCGAAAGAAATCCGCCCGTGAAAAGCCTGTCGCGGGGGCACCTCCAAGCATCCGCACACCACAGAATTCCCCACATGGCCTGCGTAATGAACTCGTCACAGACCAGCACCAAGGCTGCAGCCCTGCAAATGAAGCCTCCGCAACGGTCCACAACCGTCAGCCGGTGTGACGTAGACTCCGTTGGTTGAATGGCTCGGAATGGCTGGTTCGGAGGAGAGAAAGAAGCTCGATACCGAATGGCAACAGCTGAGAGCGCGAGAAGCAGAACTCAAAGGTGGGGGAGCCTCACTCATTTCGGTGCCGGATCCCCTTTTTCATGATGTTGTCCCTTCTCCCGTTGCAGAGCGGATCAAGAGCCATGCGGATAAAGAGCATCGGATCAAACAGCTCGATGCAGAGCTCGAGGACAAGGCAGCCTCTCTGGCAAACCTCAAGGCCGAAATCAAGAACCAACAGAAACAGCTGTCCAAGAATGCCGCTGAAAGAAACGGCGAAGCCCCCCAACGCATCCAGCAGCTGGAGAAGGAGATCGAGACCATCGCCAAGAAGCACGAGGAAGACCTGACGGCGGCCAGAGCTGACCAATCGGCAATCCAAAGCCGAGATTAGATTCAGCGCCTCACATTGGAGCTCGAGGAGGCAAAGGAAACCTCTCATCAACAGAGCGGGGAAGTGAGCGCACAGATGACATCACTGGAGACCGAAATCGAGGTTTTGAGAAAACAGCTGGCCGAAAAAGATGCGGACCTTGGACGCCTCGCGGACGAGAAAGTCGCCTTGGAAGGCGGGCTAACACAAACGACACATGAGAGAGACATGGCTGCGGCAGCACTTGACGAGACGAAAGCGGTGCTCTTGGCTTCAGAAGGCCACGTCCAGGACAAACAGCGGACGATTGACAGATTGACCAAGTCACTGAAGGCAAGAGATGAAGCCTCGGCAGGAGCGCTCAAAGAATTGGAGATGGTGAAGAGCCGCCTAGACAAGGAAGCTGACTCCCACTTGAGGGGTTTGACGGAGAAGAGCCAGACCGTCGTCTCGCTGCAAAACGATCTGGATGCAAGCCAAGCTGTGCAGGCCGAGCTCTCGCTGCAAGCGGATGACCTGAAGGCTGGGAACAAAAAGGTACTCTAGTGCGCGAACTCACATATTGGCTGCCACGAGGAGACATGGCGACATACATGTGTTTTCAGTTAACAGCTGACAATGACGCTCTTGAAAAGGAGCTCCGCCAATTAAGCCAGCAATTGACCAGCCTCAAGAAGAGCTACGACCACTTGTTGACGGACAAGTCATTCGCCGATGAAGAGTGCGAAAATGCCAGAAAAGAGGTGACGATCACATGTCTCCTTCGTTTGGATGTGTGGATGCCTGCCTCATTTTACATCTTAGGTGAGGGCACTGAAGCCCCAAGTCGATTCACTCACAGGAGACCTCCGCGACAAAACACGAGAAGCCAACAAGTCCGGTGCCCAGCTCGATCAGGCCACCCAACTTGCCGCCAGCGAAAGGAAAAGGGCTGAGGATCTCTCCGCAGCCATGAAACAGGCGAAAGCAGACAACAAGCGGCTAGCGGATGAGATCGACAGTATCAAACGGGACCTCACGAAGGCTCAGGCTGAGCGAGACGGCCTGCAGAGGGAGCATGGTGGTCTGCAGTCACGGATTGAGGCTCTCAATCGCGATATATCGAGACTGCAGGGCCAAAACGCTGAGGCTGAGGATGCGAAGGCTCTCTTGGAGACGAAAACGTCGAAGCTCGCTGCCCGCGCCGAGGAGCAAGCACGTGCCTCCGCCAAGCGCATCACTCAGCTTGAGATGGACATGGCCCAACTGACATCTATGGAGCTGACGTCGCGAGCAAAGCTGAAGGTCCTTGACGACTTGCAAATAGAACATGCGAAGCTCCAGCGACAAGACGCGGAGAAAAGCCGTGAATTGGACCGAGTGAGAAGCGAGGCGTCTCGACTGCAAGGCGACAACCGTTTACTACGCAACGAGCTCGAGAACATGGTTGGGGTGCTGGCTGAGGCCAAGGAGGGCCTCCGACGCGCGAAAGCCAATGAGCAGGAGTCCATCGAGCTTTTGGTCAGCACAAGGCGCACGACGTGACGATTTACACCCTCAGTCAGGCTTTTCCTCCGTCTGCAGGGCGCACAACGAGCCGAGAACCACAGCCTGCGGCTTGACTTGGAATCCGTTCAAACCAAAATAGCACAGCAAAAAATGGCACAGCAACAACGGTCCCTGGGAAACGAGGTGCAGATGCACAAAGACGCTTTGCTAGAGACGAGGAAAGCCTTCGCGGCCCTTAATGACAAGTATTCATCGTGCGTTTCCCAGCTGAAGGATCTGCAGAACAAGCATGCCATCGAACGGGCTGACGAGCAGAGGAGACTCGAGCAGATGCAGAGGAGGGCGTCGGCGGCTGAGCAGTATTCTGGGGCCGTTGAGAAGGAGAAGGAGAAGCTCCTTGACGCCAGCCGACAGAAGATCGATGACCTCTCGAGGAAGCTCCGCGGCTGCTCTCGTGAAAGAGACGAGGTGGCCGAGCAGCTGAAGCGGGAGAGACAGCTGCTGCAGGAGGCGAGGATGCGAAACAAGGCGATGGAAGATGATCTCAATGGGCTCCAGGGCAGGTATGATGAGCGACTTAAACGTGCCATTAGTGAGCTGCGAGAGGGAAGTGAAAGGCGAGACACGGAAATCAAGATGCTGCGGGCTATGCTTAAGGTACAAACATACATCCACACATGTAAGGAGAGCATTCATTGGGCGCGTTGCGGACCTGCAGGGGGCCCGGGCAGACAATCAGCTCAAGGACACCCAGATCAGCCGCCTGCGGACCCAAATCGAGCCATTGGCGACCCCTCGACGACTGTGCTGACGATCGAGGGGAAGCTGTCTGTTCTGACACTGTCCTGGATTTGTGATGGATGTCATGTCTGCTGTTGCGACACCAGCTCTGCTCTGTTGGGAAGGAACTACTGGCCTGGGACTCATTAATCGTGGCGAATAACCTTGTCGTACTTTGTGTGAATTGGCTGGGACTTTGCGCCATCAAACACATTTTCACCAGACGGACGGACGGATGGACGGATGGATGGGTGAACGAATCCATTCCATTGGACACATGTTCGGTGGTATTTCTTGAATGCGAACGTATGTCTCTCTCCGTTTGCAACCCGTGGACCATTCAGATGCATCAATGAGTGTTGAAGAGTGCCGATGTGCCGGAAAGATTTCCCTGCATGCACTATCAGCTGCACAGTCACCACTATCCACAACAAGCCACCGTGCCGCGCCCGTCATACGTCTTGTCTCGCCAGCTCCCCTACTAAAAAGTCCTGTCTTCCCACAACAACCTCAGCTCTCTTCTGCCGGGGACAATATCGACATCATGATGTACGTACGACCATGACATGATCGATTTTTCTATCCACACGCACAATATGTACACAAAGTATCAACACAGCCAGCTACACACGTGACACACAATCATGGAGACACGAAACCCCATCACTCTCTCCCGGTGCGGTACGCGTATGAGAGAAAAAGACTTCCATGTCAGTCGCATGTGTCTTGATGTGTCTCACTCCCTGACCCCCCTCAGTTCGGCGAGTAGAGGGGCGTATGGTCCCATACCGCCTTCTTCGTCGCTGACTGCGGCAGAGCCTTGAGCCGCCCTCCCCTGCCCCGCCGCACCGGTGTCACCACACAGTACTTGATGTCCGCATGCACGTCCTTGTCCACGTGGATGTCCGTCTCCCACCATCCGGGACGCCCCCCCGCCCGCCTCGCCCTGCCCGTCTGCCTGTTGGGTACCACCGCCATCAGGTTGCGCTTGCTCCGCTTGACGTCTCGTTCAGGGCCGCAGTAGAGACGGAAGTGCTCGATGTGGTCGGTGGACGGACTGCGGCTGCCGGTCTTTGTCACGATCGACCAGCCTGCCCACATGCGGCCCTCTACTGGAATGACCTCCACCTGCAGGCGGGGCTTGGCTGTCCGAGAGAGGAATGAGGGCGGAGGGGAGGCAGGATGGCAGCCGCCGACAGATATGTCGCATGACGTGTCGGCCTGGTCGTCGTCATCGGCATTGCGGCCATCGAGCCGGCGGCGCTTCTCATGCTCGACAGCGAATGTCGGTGTGGTATCCGTCTCGTTGTCTGGAACGAAGAAGTATGTGACGTTGCCGATTTTGTAGACAAATGTGCCATTGGTTTCGAACAGCTGGCCCTCCAGCGCCTCGTACTCGGGCAGCGACACGAGTGCGGCCCGGCCGGCTGTCGTGTTGACCCCTAACCCCACCGGCGGCAGGGGCGAGCCCGTGTAGGCCTCGGGCACATAGGGCGCCTCGTCGGGCGGCAGAAAGGCCAATGTCGTGTTCTCATCGAAGGCCGGCGGCAGACGCGACACGGGGGGCGGTGGGGGGAGCTTGCTCGCCTGGAGTCTCCTGTATGCGGATGGGTCATGCTCATCAAAGTAGGCATCGGTCCCGTTATAGTCCAGAAATGCAGCGCCACCTGTTGGAGTGCAGCCACACGAGGCACACAAGACACACACGAATTGGCGCGAAGATGTGTTGGCTTTCAGCGTGGCTGTGTGCTTACACGTAAATGTCTCTTCGGCGCATACATTCGAGCAGCAGTCTGAGTTGTAGTGGCACGACATGCCGCCCGCGACGCACTGGTTGTGATGGTAGCCGCCCAGCCGGTAACGAGGGTACCTGCATTCAAAACACTCAATGACGTCCACAACGCGCCGCACGAGCCGTGGTTTTCCCCTCTTCCCTGACCAGTAGTAGGGCATATACGGATACCTGCACACACGCACATGGACATCAAGTCCCATGGTCGGTCTTCCCTTATATTTTCCCGCTTACCACCATCCGCCGCCATAGCCATAGCGGCCATAGCGGCCTCCGAAAAATCCGAAAAACCCCAAGCCGTTCCGCGGCCCTCTGCCGATGCCTGTGCGCCGCGAATCGTCGTCATCGCCATTCAAAAACGACCCATCCTTCTCAGGATCGACATCCCCTCCGACGGGCGGTGCACGCACTGGCGTCGGCACAGGCTGCCGAATCGCAGGGCCACTGATGAACTGGGGCGGGCCGTTGAAGACGGGCGCGGCTGGGGCGTCTGGCCTCTCTGGTCTGCGGCCCTTGACTGGTGTCCTGAACTTGTCTGGGATGACAGGCGGCCGTCGAGGGAAGTGACGGACCTCTCTACGCCGGTTGGCCAGGGGATCTCGCGGGATGCCGATGTTCTTCCTGGGGCCCAGGCGCGTCGGCCGCTCGCGGACGCTTGATGAGAGGACGCTGTCTTTGATGCCTTTGGGTGAGCCACCACGCTTTCTGGAGCCGCCGCCCCGATTCAGCGAAGTGGGGATGTCCCGTCTGTTGCCACCAGCCGGGAGGGAATGAGGACGGTCCGGATGAGCGGATAGCCCAGGGGCGCCTCTGAAGAAAAGACGACATGCCAGGGAGGTGTGAGATTAGACTCGCGTGTGGCTGTGTGCGTGTACCGATCGTATCACCTTGGCGTGCGGGGGGACCCGATAGCTCTCGCTAAGGAGCCGATGACCCCCATTCGTGCGCCTCGCGCCCCGCCTGCTCTGGCAGAGGGAGAGGTGCGGCTCCCTCCGGCACGGCTGCTGCTGAGGGTGCTCAACGACGACCGACCGGGTGGCGCCCTTGATGCAGACGAAGCCCGAGCGGCGCTGGCCACGATGCTAGCCAAGCTAGGTCGCCTTGATGAGACGCGTCAAAAGCACCCGTATACAGACGTAGAAACCAGCAGTTTGTTCGTGGCGTGTGTCTGCCTCTCTCTCACCTGTTGCCGCCGATGGAGCCTCGCCTGCCGCCCGCTCTTGAACCACCAGCAGAAGTTGCCGCTGCCCTGCTGCGAATGGCACCCATGCTGCTGCTAGTGAAAGGAAGCCACAGTGACACGCATCTGCCAGTGGGTGTAGGTCTCTTTGTTGCTTACCCTCTAAAGGCAGATCTGCTGGCTGCAGCTCTCCCGAACGCAGTGCCGCTGCGCATCCCTGAGCCCCGTCCAGGTCGCCCACCGAATCCTGCCCTGCTGAAACCAGAGAACCCCCTACTGCGGCTGAGACTAGAATTGGGTGACAACCAGAAAGAGAGAGACGTTGTCGGTGTCCACTGTGACGAGCCAGCCAGTGAGCGTGTGTGTGGTCTTACCTTCCCACAGCGGTCCTGCCTCTTCTGCCGCCCCCGAAAGTGCCTGACCTTGACCCACCTCCACGCGAACCGCCAGACCTGAAGGCGAGCATCAGCTGACGGCTGGCGTCCAGTCAAGTACGTGGCTCGTTGCTTGTTTACCTTCCTCTGGAGCCGCCCCCTCTGGAGCTTGATGCCCTTGCTCTAGATCCACCCCCCCTGGATCCACCGGCACGACCGCCGCCGCGAGAGCCGCCACCTCTGCTGCCACTAGCACGACCGCCGCCGCGAGAGCCGCCCCGATTCCCGCCACCTCTGCTGCCACTACCACGACCGCCGCCGCGAGAGCCGCCCCCATTCCCGCCACCTCTGCTGCCACCGCCACCACCAGGATCTCCGGAGACGCAACCTGACAATGCCAAACACGGGGATGAGACAGTGAGAGGTTGTCACTCTCACCGATGAAGACACAAGTGATTACGAAGAGGACGAGTTTGAGTAGGTGCCTCATCGCGGCTCTAGTGTACAATTATAATTACAATCTCTGTGGTCGGGGTTGGATGCCCTCTGTGTCTGCTTGTACGTGGAGGGGAAAGGAAAGGAAAGGAGGAAAGAAGAAAAGGAAGACGAGAAAAGAAGGACGTTGTACCACAATTTCGGTTCCGTTAGAAATTGTGGTACAACGGGACAACGTGCTTGGGCACCTACGGTGTGTTTCCCTTCCTTTCGTCTGAGATTCCCAGAATGAGGGGGCAACTTGAAACAGAGCGCCGATAAAAATCTGAACCTCACTTTGGCGCTTCGACCAACGCCAGCCGGCCAGCCGTTGTGTGTCCGCTCGCAGCCAGGCTGACACGCGAAAAATGAGGCGCCTGAGACATCATCTCGTTGTCGTTGTCGTGGCGGCCAATCTCCTGTTGGGTAACAAAGCAGCCCCTTCTTGTCCTGCAGCGCTTTTATCTGCTTGTCTGTGTGTCTGGTTTGTTTGTGCGTCTGCAGCCGCTGTGGGCCAGTTCGGTGGCAGGGATGGGGGTTTTCCCAGACCTGGCAACGGAGGAAGACGGCCAACTTTTCCAGGTCATTGCCAGCCGGTGCAGATGTATATATATCAGGTGTATATGGGTTGCTTTGTCCCCGATGCTTTTCAGGCGGCGGCAGCGGGAGGCCGAGGTTCCCTGGATTCGGTGGAGGTGATGAGGGCGATGACCGGTGAGCTGAGCTAGATGGTTTGCTGCTGGGTGACTGTGGGAGGGAGTGCCCTTGAATTGGAACACACGCTGTTTGACTTGGCGCCATTGCTATGCTACGCTATGCAGCCCCACCCTCCCTGACCGACCCATCAGCCCTGTCGCACCCCCACGGGATGACCCCCCTCGCGTAATTGGCATTCCGGGATTTCCAAGGAGCCCCCCCAGGTGCCCTGCCCACACAAACACACAGCAGGAACGTGCCAAGACAAAGACACATGAGCATCTGTGTGGGTGTGGTGTGTGAACGTTCGTATGAACGTAGTAGCCCGATCTCTCGCCCGGTTGGCGATGACAGTCAGCAGCCCATCTTGCCCGGCGCGCCACCGTAAGGGACGATAGATGCACGTGCGTTAGCGCCACTGCTGTCTCCACTCGCCGTCGATGCAGCAGCAGTCCGAGCGACGACGATCGTCAGATCCTCCCAGACCAGCCAGTCGTCACTCCTGGCGATGACGACGCCAGCGACAGACCCAGGTGATCTTGCTAGACACCGCGCAGTAGCGAGCACACGCAATGGTGTGTCCTTGCTGCTGTGTGCAGGCTCCCGCCCGGGGGAAATGGCCCGCCTGTCGATGGCCCAGGCGATGAAGACGGCGACGAGAGGAATCGTCGGCCGATTTTTCCCTTTCCGGGACTGACACCGGGCGATGACGACCCCAATGAGAATCCCGGGTGAGTGCTTTGCACTTCTTTGCTGGTGGTCCCCAAGTGTGCATGTTGTGCCCTCCAGCGACAGCCCTGCTCTCACGCCTGGTGACGATGAAGACGAGGACCGCCGACCGATCCTGCCTCGACCTGACATCACACCTCGGGACGATGACGATGTTGACGAACAACCAGGGTAAGCAAATGGCAAGGTCGGGCGGCCACAGGCTGCTCGGATGATGCTCTGTGTCCGCAGCGACGAGAATCCCGGCATTCTCCCTGGAGCAGGGGACGATGAAGATGACGAAGGTCTGCAGCCGATAAATCCTCAACAGCCTGGCGACGACGACACACCAATTATCCCACGGTGAGTTCACGATTGAGTGACGGACGCCGTTCGGACATGCCCACATAGACGTGTGTCGCGACCAGGCCTGACGATGACCAGGAGCCGATAGTTCCTCGGCTTCCCGGAGACCAGGATGGCGACGAAAGACCTGGGTAAGAGGAGGACAAGGTGAAGACAGCCGCCACACACGAAGACAAGATCTCTCTCCGTGCACCAGCGATGACCTTCCCGACGTTCTGCCTGGAGTGGGAGACGAGGACAATGACGGTGACAGACCGGGGGGTGGCCTCCCCGGCTGGCTGATCGGCGACGATGACGACGGGCGGCCATTCGACCGCCCTCGATGGCTGCCGGACAACGACAACAAGTGGCCGCTAGACACAGTGCGAGACATTGGGATCAGCCTCCCAAGAGGCGGCGGACTGCGAAGGCCTGGAGGGCCTCCGGGTGGATGGAAGGACGACATATTCCGTACGGACAAGACGACAAGGCGAATCATATAAGACATGTCTGTGTGCACTTGTGTGGCGTGGTGTGGTGTGGTGTGGTGTGTGCACGTGTGCAGCTGACGAGGCCTTACGTCAGCGGGAACGTCCCATCCAGGTGGGCATCAGCATCAACATCGGGATCGGCCGAGACCCGCTGTGGAACGCCCGCCCCGCCGTCCGCTACTTCCCGAGGAGGGCACCCTTCGTGCCTCCACTGTACCGCACGCCATATATTGCTCCCGTGGTCCGCCCGCCATTTGTAGGCTACCCGAAGTTCGTCTACGGATCTGCGTTCCGGTACCCTGTCGCTGTACCTGTGCGGGTGGCTGTTGGCTGGTCCGTCAGCGTCTCTGTGGGCGGCTGGTGGTGAGTCGGGTCGGGTCGGGAGTGTGGTGTCTGTCTGTCTCGCCTGCGTCGGTGTGTGTGTTGAAGGTGGGTTGTGCTGTTGGTATGTATGGGGTACATTATGTGTGTGTAGGTATCCCTACCTGGCCTACTATCATTATCCGTATTACCATCTCCGAGACTACTACGCCAACGCGTGCGTCACTGGCGGCACCTACTGCTACTACAACTCCGACTGCTGCTCGGGCGTCTGCATTGACGGCGCATACACATGTACTGTACCCACCTACGCAAACACACAAATGGATGGATGGATGGATGGATTGCCCCAGTGCACCGTGTCTTCCTGTCTGCCTGTCTCTCTTGTTCAGGTGGAGCGGCCTACTTCGATTACTCCGCAGCGTATGGCGCTTACAACCCTCACACATACGGCTACAGACAGCTGCAGGACAACAACGCCACTCACACCCTCCCCCCACCGCCCCCCGTGTCGCGTCTGCCGCCGGCCTACGATGAGAACATGACATTGGCCTTTCTGCCGCCCGACGAGGCGCCCTATGTGCCCGAGGCCTACACGGGCTCGCCCCTGCCGCCGGTGGGGTTGGGGGTCAACACGACGGCCGGCCGGGCCGCACTCGTGTCGCTGCCCGAGTACGAGGCGCTGGAGGGCCAGCTTTTCGAAACCAACGGCACATTTGTCTACAACATCGGCAACGTCACATACTTCTTCGTTCCAGACAACGAGACGTCGACAGAGACGGCTTCCAGGAACAATGCGCAGGAGCAGGTGGACCTGACGCAGCAGCTGCTGTCGGCAATTGAGGAGACCAAGACGACTGGCACGAATGGTCGATAGATTGGCCGCATGAGGGAAGGGAGACGTTCGGGTTTTCTATGGGTGTGCGCTGCATGCGTGTGCATGTATGTGTGTGTGTATACATGTATGTATCTAAACCTAATTCGTGTATATGTGTGCCTTGCCATTGACTGGACTCACAAGTGTTTGGTAGTGGAAATCTCTTGATCTGTGCGTGCATCCATGTGTGTGTGTGTGTATAGAAATGTCTCTGTGTGTATGCCATGCCTCCCTCGCTGCACTCGGGACCGCCTGTCCTTGTCGGTATCTTTTATGTCCGTATGGTACGGTGCTGGGGTGTTGACAGTGGGTGGGTCTTGTCTGTCTGTCTTGGGATCCGATCCACACTGTGAGACACATATCTATGGATTATTAGTGAGTGACTTGAAACGAAACAGACACGAGCCGATCGATCCGCCGTACGTACATGCAGGGCAGGGCAGGGCAGGGAGGGTGAAGTGAATCCATCACCCACGCACGCACCGCATACATACGAACACACCGGCATACACACGAACACATGTACGTACCCGTTCCATCGATCAATGATCATTAGTTATTGCTGGGCCGTCTGGCCTCCCCTTCCCCCTCCCCATCCACAGCAGGCTCTCCGTCCGCCACCGGCCCATTCTCTGCCACACCATTCTCGGCCTCCGGCACTCTGTTCTCAGTTGGCACCCCGTTGACCACGGCTTCTGCTGCATCCGGGACGCCGTTCTCCTGCTCGTGTGAGGGCTCCCCGTTCGTCATGACGGGTGCCGCAGCACCAGCACCACCGCCAGCCGCTGGCGAGATGCCGACTTCGGTGAAGAACTTTTCTTCAAACTGAGCTGCCTCCTGAGACACACAAGAGAGACACACGAGCCGGGGATATCGCGCGGCTTGTCTTGCTGGCTGTGTGTGGGACCACAGACCTCAGCTTTGCGTGGCGGTGGGCCGCTTGGCGAGGGGCTGCCCTCTCGCTGGGCCTTCTTGCCTGGGGTGTGAAAGTGTATATCATTCTTTCTTCTGCGAGTATGCTGTCGTGTGTGGTGTGATGTGATCAGTTGTGTTCTGGTAGCTGACCCTCGGCCTGTTTCTTTGCTGTCTCGAGGTTCTTCTCCCTTCTCGACTCACGGTCAAACATCTGCAGTATGATATATATGTGCACAAATACATACATGCGGACAACAGACAGATGTTAAGTCAAGCGCACGATTGTTCGATGTCTCTCGGCTTGCCTGTTGTATGACGGTCTTCTCAGCGGATGTTGGCACGACGAGGGGCTCGCACAGCTCCAGCAGCGTCACCGCACCGTCGGTGTCGCCCACGGCCACCAGCTGCCCTTGGTTCTGGATGGCAATCGACCACAAAGCCGCCTCACCAACCTGATACCATCCAACAGGGGGCTAGCATTGCACGTTGCTGCGCGCATGTGTGCACACCTTGTGTTGGAATGCGATTTCGTTTTGTCTGTAGAAGAAGTCCCAGAAGTCCAAATAACCGTCCTGACGACCAACCTGATTACGCCGGCAAGGGGCCAGGCCAGCAAAAGACCCACCCACATGTGCAGCAAAGGCCGAACTGTGTTAAAGTCATTAATCCTGTCCTTACCAGGAAGACCCCGGGACGTGTGGGGCTCCACTGGCCTGCAGAGAGGAATGACAAGGCGCAGTTGGATGGCTGGAAGAGTCATCCTGTCTCTCTCTCTCTGTCTGGCTGGCTGGCTGACCGGTCATCAGTGAGGAGGAGTGGTATTGTGTCGACATGATTGGGGTCTTCTGGTCCTCATTCCATATCTGGCGCCCCACACACACCCTTTCTGTGCCCCGTGTGTGTGCACGTGGACGTGTGTGTGTTGAGGCACCTGACTTACCTTTGTGCACCAATCGCCAACAGTGAGGAAGAACTTGGGCTGCGCCGGGTTGCGCTGTCATTGATGCCATGCGCACACAGAGAGGTCGGCATCAAGACATGCAAGGCAAGGCAAGGAAGATATCTGTCTGTCTGCGCGAAGCGAATGGATGGATACCTTGACGGCGTAGATGGGGCCGTAGTGTCTGCCGCTCTCCATCCCGAAACGGGTCTGGATCTCAACAGCTGACCACCATACACACATATCCACAGAAACGTTATACTCGACACGACACGTCGAGAACACAAATGCGTCTATCGCTTTCGTATTGTTTGTACCCTTCTTGGGTTTCTTGTTCAGCGAGAGGACCACTCCCTGCTCAGTGCCTATCAGAAACTTGCCGGGCTGGAAGAACAAAAGGGAACAAAGGCAGGCACATACGTTTCGATAACCCGGGGATCGATCACACGACGGCCCCATCCAGTTTCTGTCTCAAGCGTACGTACCCCTGCCTCCAGCGCCCATTCGAGTGAGACACCGCCCAGCAACTTGGGATCATCCCTGAGTTCACCCGGAGAACGAACTTTGTTGTTTGTGCATGGTGGAGCTTACTGCCTGTGTGTGGTGACTTTCTTTGTTTCCTCCTTTCTTCCTTTCTTACTTGTTTGCGTCGGTGAGTTCACACGTGTCGATGGGCTCAGCCATGTTGCGGACATCCCACCACAACACTCTGGTGGCCGGCCATTGACACGATGGATCAGAAAAACATACATGATTGCGACATATATTTGCATGGAAGCGAGTGAAACATATATTGAAAACTCAGTGACTAAACCGACCTGCCATCGGTGCTGACGGAGACACACTCGCTGTTGGTCTTGCTCTGCAGCCTGACAATCAAATCAATACATGGATGGGAAGATGGATGGATGGATGGATGGAGACACATGCATGCATGTGACATGTGCGTCTGTCTGTGCTGCATGGAATGGATGTGATGTGCATTCCTATCGAGGTGAGGTGACCGACCGACCAGCATATCTCGTATACGGGGTCGTAATGCGATGTCTCGATGGCCGAAGACTCCACCGGCTGAGAACCCTTGCGCACATCCCACAACTCTGTCAATCCGCGCACATCAATAGCGCAGACAGATGCCGGCTGTCTGTCTTTCTGTTTCTTCCTTTCTTACGGATGAGCCCGTTGTAGCATCCGCCAACGATGACATCGGTGTTCTTCTGGTTGTACTGGAGCGTCACGACGGGCGATGGGGATGCCAGCTCGGCGATCGGCAGGTTGGGGTTGGACGTGTCCCACACGAAGGCCATGGAGGGCATCGGGTCGGGGATCTTCTGGAACCGCATGATCGAGTAGGCTGCCGCCAGCTTGGACGGGCCCTCGGGGTGCCAGCAGATCTTGGTCGCTGTGCGACGAACACCCTCTACCTCATCCCTTCACAAACGAGACACACAGAGACAGACAGACAGACAGATGGACGGGCGGACGGACGGACGGACGGACGAGAGACACGATCCAAGAGGTGCATAGATGTGTAAGGGTGGCTAGCTGGCTGACTTGAAGAGCATGAGTGTCTTGGTGGAGAGGTTCTCGGTGCTGTGCTGCACCGTCTCGCCCTCAAAGTACTCCTCAAAAATGTCGATGGTGTTGTTCTGCTCGAGGTACTTGGTGGCGTCTGCACACAAATGCTTGACGGCCGTGGCGAATCCGGGGTCCTTGTCCAGCCGCTTGCGCCACTTGGACGTCTCCTGGTGCTCCGTGGCATCCACCTCCTTCGGCCAGCCCCCCTCGACGTGTTTCATGCCCTTGCTTGCAACGCTCACTCGCTCCGTGTTGACGGCATGCTCTGCGGACGAAAGATGGACAGACGGGCAGACAGAGACAAGCAGATGAGTGCATGCCCCAGCTGCGGGGCCAGGCTATGCAATCCTGCGTACCCGAGAATTGTGGTATGTTGTCGGCGACGAAGTGTCGTGGGTTCTGCGGCACGAACCCGTCTCTGAGGCCGGGCTGTGCATCGACCACGCCGAGCATCTTGGGGTCGCTGTCCTCAAAATAGCAGTGCCGCCCGAACTCCTTGCGGAGCTTCGTGTACATGTAGTAATACTCATTCATGGCGCCAACCAGAAGAAGGAATGAGGGCACGGGCCTTATGGGCGAGCAAGCAGCGGGGACTTGTCCGATCGGCAACAAGATCACTCAAATGAGATGTTGCTGCACCTCGCGTCCACCGTAAGAAGGAGTCCGCTCCATTGCGAGCTTAGCTTCGAATCGAGCTCGCGTTTGACAAAGCTGCGAAGAGGTGCTTCCTCCTCCGGCATCTACGCAGCTGATTTGCCGCCCAGAGTCGAATCAAGCTGCGCGTTTCGAGAGGCAAGGAGTACGTGATCGAAGGTCTGCAATGAGCGCGATTTGGTGGGCGCTGAGTGCCGCCTTCTCTTATCTGCTGGGCGCATTCGTCATCGTCGGGCTCATCGGTGAGCAACAAAAGATAGCAGATGAAGTTGATGCATGTGGGTGTACGTGTCTTTGCCTGTTCAGCTGGTGGTTTGTATTGGTATGGCTGTCAGTCAGTCAGGCAGTCAGCCCGATGGATGGATGGACTCATTGTCAAAGAGCTTTGTTTTGCTTTGCTTCCTGTTCAGGTATGGCTGTTTTCTCGACAAGGCCGACATCGATGACATCAAGCGGGTGCTCACCTACCTCGTGTGGGTACGCAGCCGAACGCGAAGACACCAAGCCGACTCTCCCCATTCCTTGCAATGCCTTGATGGTTGCTGCCTGCCGTCAGGTCCTGTGTGCGGTGGAGGTGACAATGTGGCTGTTGGGGTTCACGAGTGGCTTCTACATCCTGCTTGCCTTGGTGACCAATGTCTGGGGTTTTCTCGACGGCATTCACCGGTACCCCAAGCCCATAGTGCGTGATCCCGTGAATTTGTTCGTTGGCAAAGTGACATGTAAGCACCAGAGCTACCTACCTGCCGCAGCGCAGCAGACGCAGTGGGTGTTATTCCTTGCTGCTTGCATGCGCTCTCAGTATTATCCGTGGCCAAGGCTCTCACCTTCGTGTTCGGCTTTCGATATCGCACATCGGTAGGCCAGCAGGATGGACAATGGCGAAAAAGATCGACTGTCCATACCAAGGGCTGTTCTTCTTCGCCTGCTGTTGTTCAGTTGTGGTTTTTGTGGTGGTTTTTTCTCAATGTGTGGACCCTGCCCCTCTTCTTTGTCATGAGCCTGCCCTTTGGAGACAAGGTCAGCCAGTCGGCACTCAATCGATTGACAGACACATCATATGATCTCAATCGATTGACAGACACATCACATGATATATGCGATGTGTCAATCAATGCAGAGGTTATCGCATGCGCCGATGGATACGGTGGACAAAGACAGTAAGTTTGCAGTACAGTACTTTCAGGGACCAAACGGAACGCAGGAGGGAGGGAAGCATGTGGTGTGTTGTTGCTGTGCGGTGCGTGTAGTGTTGGTTCAGCTTTATGAGGCGGTGATCATCCCCGTCCACCGGCGGAAACTCATCGTCACCCTACAACACCACACAGACATGTATGCAAGTGCACAGCCAGCTTCCAACACAACACACCCAGCGGTCGACAGCCTCTCTGCGTGTGTATGTGCGCAGGTGCATCGTGTCGGCGCTGCGGATATGTCCTGCCCTCGACTCCCTCTTGGCGCCACTGCCAACTACTACACGAGACTACTACAGGCAACTACTACGGAAGAGCGCCATCAGGCCGGTCTAAGTGACCATGGAGGCACTGAATGGATCAGCACTGTGAGAAGCTTAGCTGTGCTGGTGATGTATGATCTCGTTTTTCGATTGTAGAGACGACAATTGTCTCCGATCTGTACAGTTCATGTGTGCCAAAGTGGGTGTACCTGTAGTATATGTGTTGCGTTCCGTCGACGCCTCTGTATAGCTTGAACCCCGCCAGGACTTTTCAGCCTTGCCCACACACATATCCTTCCATCTCGCCCTTTCTCTCCGTAAAGCAAGGTCATCATCTCGCGGCGGCATGATCCGTGGGGCTGTGTCGGGTGCTGACACTTCTGGGCCACTATCGATTTCAAAATCGATCGCGGCCCCCACGAGCATGCGAGCAGCCCGCCGTCTCTCAGACAACAGCGAGTGTCGCTGCCGCTGGTGTGACGGCCTGATGGACGGCCCTGCCGGCAGACTTACGTGAAACCGCGGGAATCGAGACGGCCGTGTCACCTGTCACTGCAATGGCCATGATGAAGCAGCAGAGAGCCTTTCCGTCTGTGCTGCTTGCGGTGGTAGCTCTCTCCTCCCCCGACTCATCTGCAGTCGCTTTCAGCATCAATACGCCGCCCCCCGAAGCAGCAGAAGCACAATTTGCCAACGCAGAGGCACCAACGCTTTCTCCTTCCGGGATGGCCCTGCGTTCCAATCAAGTATATGTTCCGAGTATATATTCCGATCGGGATCCCTCTTATAGCTATCAGCACGTCGGTTCCCGTCACGGCTGCCACATTGCCCGCCACTACTTCGTGGTGCTCGACGCCGGTTCCAGCAAGACGGCGGCATTCTTCTTCAAGGCGCTGTCCGAGACATGCACCAACACACAACATCTCATCTCAGGTACTTACTTGTTGTGCGCTGCATGATCGGCATTATACGTTACTATGTACTCGCGTACATTTGTGTCTCTCGCTGCCTGCATGTCGTCCAAATCGGCTCGACTGGTTGTTGCCTGCAGGTGCGGATTTCGAGGGCCGCAAAGTTCTGTGGGACACTCTGGAGCCGATCGACCCCGGGGAGGACATCAGGACACCGCAGGGGATCCGCAAGTTTTTTGAGACGAACGCCGATCTGGCCGAGAAACCGTTGGTATCCGCTGACGGGGCAGTGTGGCACACCGAAAGGGACGAGAAGGTGCTGCAGGACTACCTCGACAGCTTCCTTACCAAAATCGTTGACCTTATGGAAAAGGTCGTGAGCAAGGTATGGATTACACAAGATGCATACATGTCCATTCATACATGCATACATATGTGGTCTGATACACGAGTGGGTGGGGTCGGTGGGTGCAGCCGATACTTCCTGTTGAGAGGCCGATTCCAACATTCACAGACATTCCTGTCATGATCTTCGCAACAGCAGGTCAGCCACTCAGTCACAAGCCTCTCGCTCTGTCTGTCTCTCTTCGTGTGTCTGTCTCCACTGCCGTCAACGAGCGAATGATCGAGTGCATGACTGAGTGCAGGTGTCCGTGATCTGCCCTCTGACATATCCAAGCGGATCTTCTCGGCCGCGCGAAGCGTCATCAACAAATATGCAAGCCTGAAGGGCATCAACCTTTTCTGCACCGAGTCCGTCAGTCAGTCAGTCAGCCCGATGGATGGACTCACTCATTGTCAAAGAGCTTTGTTTTGCTTTGCTTCCTGTTCAGGTCCACTGGCCGTCGGGTGTCTGGATCAGAGGTAAACAAGTGATTGACTTAGAGACAGACAGCGGCAGTATCTCTGTGTCTGTGTACCTGCCAGGAGGCAGTGTATGCGTTCCTTGCCGTCAACCTGTTCATCGGCGAGCTGCTCAAGTGGGCCTGTCGCGGCTCGACCTCCCCCTGCCAATACAAGTACAGCCCCGCGAACAGCGCCGGGACCGGGTGGAAGCTCGCCGCCAAGGAGATCATGAGCGGGCTGAAAGGCAGCAAGAAGACACACTCACCCCTGCCGGCCTTCAGCGACTGGCTCTTCGAGTCATCTCCGTTCGTCGAAAATGACCGCAAGATCACCATGCCCGCCAATCTCCAGCCGGTCGGTCGGTCGGTCAGCCAGTCGCTGGCTCACTGTCCATTCATTGTGCCTGCGTGTCTCTGCGTGGATGCGGTGCGCAGGTGGGTATGATGGAGATCGGTGGTGCCAGTGCGCAGATAGCGTTCCCCTACACAGGCCAGCGCTCGTCCATCCACCAAGGTCTGCTGGACACAGGATACGTCAACCGCGGCGTCGATCGACGGAACGCCATGGTGCCCTACCTGAGAGAGGACATTCCAATCTTCGCCACATCCTTCATGAACCTCGGGTGGGTCAGTCAGTCAGTCAGTCACCAGTGTGGCGCCGTGTGCTGTGTGTGTGTCTTGAATCGATCCATGGCTGCACTCTTGGCTGTCTGTGTCGCTGGCTGTCTCGCAGCATCAACCGTGCGCGTGCCATTGTGATCAAGGTGGCCTGTTCGAACATGAAATTCCGACAGGGGCCGAACAAGGAAGTGTGCGTACACCCATGCTTCAACGAAAGTAGGCCAAGCGATAGACGTGGATGCCTCCCTGCATTGTGTGTGTGTGTGTGTGTGCGTGTGTGTGTGTGTATTCGCGTGCAGATTGGGAGCAGCCGTGTGCAGCCGGGGACGTCACCTTCGAGAAGTCGGGCGGCCGCTACAAGGTGGTAGACGCCAACGACAACGAGCTCATCGGGCTGCAGGAGTTCTGTGGAGACACTACCAGGAAGGGACCTCTAGTGCCTGCAAGCGGCTGGGCTTCGATGTTACCGACCTACAGTCCGACGACTACAAGATCAGGTAGTCGGAGCAATTTAAGGAAAAATCAAGGATTTCCCGTGTGTGACACACACCTACCTCGCAGGATTCCAAGCGCGGAAGATATCCCCTGCACCAAGGCATGCACGCATACATGGATGGATGGATGGAGACACACACACACGCGCAATCAGACAGAAGGACAGTGTGAGACACATTCTGATTGTAGCCACGTGCAAACTTCCTTTTTCTGATATGGTCGGTCAGCTGGTGGGGGCGGTGAGGTCGGATCTTGCGCCCGATGAGGTGAAGAGAACAAACCGCGAGTGCAAGACCCTCATCGACACGTTCCTGATGCAAAACACCCTGCCATCCAACGGCGGCATCGCATACCCCATACCACGAGACATCAAAGAGAAAATCACGGCAAGCAAAGCAAAGCGAACCTCCGTGCCCTGCGAGCACAAGTTGTGTGAGTGGCATGTGATGTGTGTGGTTGTCAGATAGCACGAAATGTCCGTTTCAACATACAGAAGACGGGCAACGTGATAGGCTACCTGGCGGGAGAAATGGAGGCCGCCGGAGTGGCCGATTTCTCCAAACCCGATATCCTGCCAGCGGTTGAGACAGGGCAGGACGACCTCGAAAACAACTTCCCCCACTTCAAGGAGAGGGCGCCCAAGATGTGCAACCTGGTGCTGAGGGACGGCCATATGTGGGTCAACCCGGAGAACAACCAGTCCATGAAGCTCAATCCATTCAACTACTTTGCATGCTTCAAGGTACACGAACACCTGCCCCCTCCCCACACACCACACGTGAGGCTGATGTTTTGTTCACTCCTTCGATCAGGCCATGTTCGTCTCGAGCTTGCTGCAAGGTCGGTCGGTGGACAACGGATGGGTGGGAGAACACCGCGTGCTTGTGGCTATCTGTGTACATGTGTCCCTCTGCAGCGTATGGTTTTGACAACAGTGGTCCCGCCATGACCTTCCGCGATAACCTCGTCAACGACGTGACCGGGGACAAGGTCGACGGAGATCTGCTGGGATGGCCCGCAGGTGAGTGAAGAATGAGTGCCCGAGAACATGTACATGCATGTCCCTACAGCAAGCATCATATGTCTGTCTTCCGTCTGTGGCTGTGTCTCCTCTTGTTTGTGTCGTGGGTGGGTGGCTGGGTGGATGGATGGATGTCCCAGGAGCTGTCCTCAGCACTGTGACGGTCGGTCCACACAGACGGCCAGACAGCCAGCACGAGACATCCATACACACATCCGTCCTGGTGTGCGTCCGTCGGCGGTATGTATGTTGTTTGTGTGTCAACCGCAGACTTCCTACTTCTTCACCGAGGTTCTCGAGTACGGCCCCATCCACTACAAAGGCACGGTAATACGCAATCACTGACCCACCCCTGCCAGAGAACTCCGTACACGTATGTGTGTATCTGTGCAGAGCTACATCAACGCCTTCTTTAATATGCATCAGCACCCCCGTCAAGCCGCCAACTACACCTGGGCGCTCCCCGCCCAAGAGGAGCAGCAGCAGCCCGCCGAGGAGCCAGAGCCCGCAGCACGTAAGGAGGGAGATGCTGCCGCGGCGGCAGAGACCGCCACAGTGCCCCCAGCTGCCGTGGCCGTAAACAGCGATGGTCACACCCCTGACGAGCCATTCAAAGATGTGACAATGGAAGAGTGAGTAACGTAGACTGCGTGTCAGCCAGCTGATGGTATGTGCGTTTCTTTGTTTGTCTACTGCACGCTCGTTCACACCGAATTGGCAAAGTGAGACCCACTGCATGTGTCCCCACCAGTGAATGGCAAGCTTTTCAAGGCAAGAATGTCGATCACGCATCTGTCCCTCAATCATGCACACCATGCCGGCTCTGTTGATGCATGCACGCACACTCCCGAGACCATTCTCCATCGATTTTTCTATGTTTCTCTCGGGAGTGACCTGTTAAAGCTGCATCTCGGACAGATGCACACCGCCTCTTCCGTGTATCCAAACACGGGGTACATGAACAGACACGCCTCGCATATCATCGGCGCGAACATCAAGCGATGTCTCGCAGGCTCTTTCTCTATCACGTTCGTTGAGCACGGCGTCAGCACCGTCGACCTCTCACTGCGATCCGGACACTCCCGGGGCTTCTGAATGCGAAAAAGAGACAACGAAGGGGTCACGCGCCGGTTGGTGGGTTGATGCATTCCCTTGTGTGTGCCCTGCGTACCTCCCTCCCAGCCCCTCCGCCAGCCGTCTCCTGTATCTTCTGCTCCTTGCCGGCGTCGGACAGCTCAGCGACCAATATCTTGCTCCGTTCCTGAATGCAACGTAGAACGATCTGAAGGCTCTGCAGGTGTGCATACTACAATATACCCGCAGGGCCTTGACAAGCAGGGAGGCCTTGACATGGCTGGCAGGCGAGAGGCCGCCCTGGTTGATATGGGTCTGTGCGATGCTTTCCATGAGTGACAGCATGGCCAGCAGCTCATTCAGCCGCTTGATGAACCGACTGGTGGGGGAGTCGTCTGAAAGGTCGCCAGCAGAAGCAGCAGCAGCAGCAGCGGCGGCGGCGGCAGGGGGCCTGAATGGCCTGAAGAGGCGCATACAGACAGATGCAGGCAGGCATGAGACGCGCGATATAAGTAGGCCGCCGCTCACCTGTCCTGTTCTGCAGACTCCAGCTGCTCAGACCTCCTGCACAGATGCATGCATGCATGCGTCACAAGTAATGAGAGAACGTGCATGTGCGTCTCGCGACGGATGGGTGTATAAGTGAGGTTGGCATGCGTACGTTGTCTTGGCTTGCTTGAGCGATGCGGTGAACCACTTGTCCACACGATTAATCACCTCCTTGTGACTGCACAGGACACAGACATGCAACGAACGTCGTCAGTCAACTTCTCTCGGTCCTCCTGTCTCCCACTCAGTACACTCACTCGTTCTTCCTCGGCGGACAGAAGGAAGACTCGTCATTGTGGGCCTTCCATCTCGCAGTTGCCCAGTCCCTGCACTCAGTTCATGCAGGCCAACAAACAAGGGGCCCGGCCGACAACAGCCTGCTATATGGTGTTGCCGCGTACGTACACGACAGAGACGATCTCCACCAGTTCTTTCGTTGCTGCTATACACACACACACACACACAGAGAGAGAGAGTGGAAGTGATCGAGGCGGCCGTGTGTGTCTTTTGTGTGAGTGCGTACGTTTTTTTCCGAGTGTGTAGTCGCGCCATCGTACCTCCTCACAACTCTGCATGCAATGCATCCGCCCATCCATCGACCCATGGATGCCACCCACAGGCAAGCGCAAAGGTGTACTATGCATGCACATGGAGTGCTGAGCGTGACGGACCTACCTCAAAGATCTGAGATGGCAGGCAATGATAGGTCGAAAGGGCTCCGTCGGGCTCAGCCACAGTGTTGGGTCGAAAGGGCGTTTGAGGAGATCCCCGTGGCCTATCAGGTGCCACTGTCCGCCCCCTCTTGTAGTCCAGCCATCGCCATTCCTCCAACGACTGCATCATGCCACATTTCACTGCGCGGCATCGCATTGTGTTGTTGTGACATATGCGTACGTACCAGGTTGGTTGCCCCTTCCTGTGCATTGATGGATCTAAACACCTCCCGCGGCTGAAAACAGCCAGCAGGTACCAGCCCGTTCATCCCTCCCCCCCTGGCTTGGCCCTGGCCCCACTTCGTCTTGGGGCCACACGGAGAGTGGAGCGCCGGTTGGTTGAAGACGATAATATCACATGCATCGAGTCCATGTCACAACCGCCACTGACTGCACTGCAACACGCACATGCACGCCGTGGACTGGCTGACGCACGCAACGGTGCATCTATGGACGAAACAGTTGACAGCGAAAAAATGCGTGCGTGTCTGTCTGTCTGTCGACTGCCTGCCTGAGGCAAAGGCAGCATGGCAGGCATGACGGAAGGCAGCCACGCGTCGCCAAGAAGCCATGTCGGCCGGCCCTTGACACACGGCAGGCAGATACTACGTCCAAATTAGAGACAGCCACACGGTCATCACAGAGATCCCTCCTCCCTCCCTCCCTCCCTCCCTCCCCTCGCTGAGTCAGTGGACAACTAGCACCAACCCGCCATTCTCGCCCTTGTCAAGACTCACGCATTTTGGGTGGATGGATGGATGGATGTCTCATCCCTTTCCCCCTCTCATCCCTCCCTCTGTGTTCATTTGTTCCTCCACCCATCATGCGGATGCCGCAGCTGGAGCTTGCTCTCTGGCTCTCTCCTGGCTGTCCTTCATGACCCATTGGACCTTCTTGGCGGTGAGGAATGGCGGCAGCCAGGCGAAGGCCTCCCTGAAGAGGCCCGGGCCGTGCCAGATGCCCCTCATCATGGCCTCCCAGTAGATGACGGGCAGCACGTACTTCTTCATGAAATGCATCAGGTAAGACGGCTTACCCTGCACACACGCATACACAAATCCATCCATCCATCCAGTCCACGATCGTCTCGGTGCGTGTGATTGTGTGTGTGTTTGGGTGAGTGTGTTGCTCACCTGGTCGATGGGGAATGTTTCCCAGGGTTCGCCCGTGAACGCGTTGAACTCGGCCATGATACACTGGTTCTTGGATACCACCAAAGGACACGACGCATAGCCGTCATAGTGACCTGATCGATGGATGGACAGAGGGAGGGACGACCAGACACACACAAATCGCCCCAAAGGCGATCCAGTCAATTGTGCGATGATAAATCCAATTTGGGGTGCCTTTCCTTGTCCTGCTCCCTACCGTGCAGCGTGTGTGCCGTCGACGCGCCAAAGACATTCTCGCACACAGCATACGCCTCCACGGCCTGCAGGAACCAACCAAATCACGCATACTCGTGTCTGTCGTCTCTCCTCCTTCTCTCACTCTCACCGCAGCCGCGGCTGTCTTTGATGTCGGGACTGAAGTGCAGTCGCCGATGCCAAAGACATTGGCGTACTTGGTGTGGATCATCGTGGTCGGGTGGACGTCGACCTGACACACACACACACACACACACGCACAGAGCAGACACGCAGACGTGGGCAGACAAAGACCCACCCACCCATGCAGCGCGTCAGACTGTGTGTCGATGGGTAAGCTTACGAATCCGGCTTCGTTCGCGAGGGGCGACTTTTTGACGACGTCGGGCGGGCTCATTGGAGGTGATACTGAGGGCCGTACGCGACAGACACCACAGTTTGGTCACCGGGCGATGGATTGATGGTCGGTTATGTAGGTATGTATAAGGGTGGGTGTATGTCTCTCTCACCGTACCTACCGTGTATGAATGAGTATCTCTCCGTGAAGGTGGAGCCGTCGCTGCCCTCCCCAACGCGCTTGAAGGTCGCCTCACGCTTGTCGGGGTCGATCGCTATCAGGTTAGACTTGTACGTACGCTCTGTCACCGTGTATCGTCACAGGACATGCACACACACACACACACACGCGCGCACGTGAAGGTCTGTGTCGGTCCCTCCCTCCCTCCCTCCCTCCCTCCCTCCCCCTCCCCCACCCTCCCTCACCCAGTCCCCGTTCGTCGCAGATTTTGTTGAGGGAGTCGGCGTACTTCTTCACCGCAAACTGCCCAGGATTGGCCGTGATGAACTTTATGTTGACCTGTAGGACACACCGACCCATGTGCAGACGAAAGAATCGCTCGACGGCCATTTTATGGCGTCGTGCAGTGCAGTGCAGTGTGTCCATCCATCTATGCATCCATGTGGCTCGCTCAGCTCACGTTGTCCCTGACGCCCATCTCAGTTCTCCAGATTTCTTCGGCAAGGTACATGATCTTCTGTGGAGCTCCGGGGCACTTGATGCGGTTTGCGGGCGGCATCGTGAAGATGGCCGTGCCCTTCTTCACGCCACGGATCATCTTGTGCGTCAACTCGCAGAAATTAGGCGAATAGTTGGTCGTCACACCGTCCTGTCACACACACAAACAAACAAAAAACGTACACACACACGTCTACACATGGCTTTCGGCTGCCTGTGTGTGTGTGTGTGTTGGTGTGTGTTGGTGTGCGTCTGTGAGTACCCTGCCCATGGCCTCCTTGAGTCCCTTGACTTCGTCCCAGTCGATCTTGATGCCCGTGGCCACGACCAGGAAGTCGTACTTGATCTTGCCGAACTTGTCAGTCAACACGTGGTTCTCATCCGGAACAAACTCCGTCACAGCTGACAGACACACAGATACATCGACCATGCCATGCCATGCCACGCCACACAAGACAGGGGAGGGATGTGTCAGCATGCATTGATTGCATGTTCGTGGCTGGGTGGCTGGGTGCAGTGCATCGATGCACATGTGTGGATGTGCGAGCCTCCCTCCCTCCCTTAGGGACCGACCTGCTTTGTAGAGTTTGATTTTCTTGGGGACCATGTGGCTGATCTTGTAGCGAGTGTCGGCCATGTTGTACTGCCCCGCGCCCACCAGCGTCCACGCCGGCTGGTAGTAGTGATGCTCCGCCGGATCGATGATGGCAATACGGCCCTCGCCAAACTTGCGCGCCAGGTTTCTCGCCACAGCCATGCCGCCGCATCCCCCACCCACGATCAGCACCTTGTGCGCGAAAGGCACCTCCTTGGGCAGAGCCTCGGCGACGTCCTTGAGCTCGTTATAAATATAATAATTCTTGAGGCCCTGCCGGATTGGCGCTCCCGCCGTCTCTGCACAGTGAGTGCACACATCACATCACATCGGCTTACATCACTACACACCATGCATTGCGTGGTCGGCTAGTGTGTGTTGGTTGTCTGTCTGTGGTCTACTTACGTGCCCATGAGGGTGCGTCCGCAGGGTGTGCCCTGCCTTTGTGGGGCGGCAGGATGGGCCCCCCGCCACCGTGCCGCACTTGCGTGACCACACCCAGAGGAGCAAGCGCGCCGCCGCGGGACAGGAAGTTGGACACGTATTTGGTCACGGCCGCCATGATCCTCTCACTTGCAAGGACCGACGGACGAGGCGTATGCGGTCCGCGTGGGGAATGAAGATCAAAAGCTCGCAGAAAGTGCGAGCTCGCAAATGCCGTCGCTGTTCGCCGACATTATCACGCACAACACACCCATCGTCCAGCAGAGTGACTTTGCGGAGGGATTCTTCCCGGTGAGTGAGTCCGTCTGCTCCATCGGTTGATCGCGATGAAGTCTGGAGGCGAAGAGGACGCTGCGCCGCCTCACCAGGGACGGAACATCTCACTGCTTGTCCTCAGCTACGCTCTCAACTTCTCGGTCGTCGCCGGCAACCTCGCCACATCGTCACGCGCGGCCTTCGCTGTCTACCCGAATGAGTCAGCCGCCACGCTGCCCAACTTCACCTGCTTCCTTGTCCACTGCCTCGCGTCCTTCCCACTCGCACACCTCACGCGCACACGCGGCTATCGGCTGGTCTTCGGCGTCGCCAGCGTCGTGGGCGTGCCCGCCACGGCGGTGTCGTGCCTCGCTATGGCCGTCAACTCGTTTCTGCTCTTCTGTCTGGGGGCCGTCTTCTTCGGCGTAGCGCAAGCCTCGGCCCAGCTGCACCGATTTGCCTCGCTCGACCCGCGCATCTGCCGGCCATCCTTCAGGCCGTACTCCATTTCGCTGGTGCTGGGAGGCGCTGTGTTCGGGGCTTTCCTGGGTCCTGAACTGGCACAGGGGGGCAGCAGGTTCAGCTCGACCATCGGGGGCGAGGAGGTGTATGACGCCTTGCCGCGGGGGGTTGAGGAGGAGCCTGAGATCGGGAGTGTGTCCAACTATGCCTTCGCCACGGCCTATGCCGCTCTGGCCATCCCGTACCTGTTGGCCTTCGCCTGCACGCTCCTGCTGAAGGTAAAGCCGCTGGCGTCTCAGAAGCAGCAGCTACCCAGCCCGCTTAAAAGAGACGACACAGACGAGAAGAATGAGGCGGGCTGCGTGGTGGAGATAGAGCCCGAGGAGGTCACGGGCAAGGAAGAAGATGCCGAGGGGCCGGTTGTGGGTCTGTCCAACAAGTCGACCGCCACGTGTCTCGACGACTCTGACGCCTCCACGCCCACTCCGGCGTCACCACCAGAGGGGCCGCGGAGTTTGTGGCGCATTCTGAAGGAGAGCCCGTCTGTGCGGCTGAGCGTCGTGACTGCCGCTGTGGCGTACAGCATGATGATCCTGGTCATGACGCCAACGCCAATTGCCATGGAGCTGCTGGGTTTTTCGGCCCGCGAGGTGACGGTGGTCATCCAGACACACATTGCATGTATGGAAACTACGCAAAAGACAACCAACACGGGAGGGAGGGAGGGAGGGAGGGAGGGAGACATGATAGTACGTACTATGTTGTGTGTTCCTGTTGTTGTGGTGTCGGTGTGCAGGCATGTTCATCCCTTCATTTGCGACGGGGTATTTGATTGACCGGGTGCTCGGCACAATTGGGACGGTTCTCGCGGGAGAGCTCGGTAGGCAATGACATGCATACTTACTGACGAGACGAGCTGAGGACCGACCGGTCATCCACTCATCCCTCCCTTCCTCTTGCGTTGCGTGCGTGGCTGTGTGCTGCATGGCATGCAGTGTTCCTGTTGAGCCTTGTGGTTCTCATCTTCCTCAAAGGCACGTTAGTCGGCCAAATCGCTGGACTGGGTGAGTGAGCAACGAAATGAATGCACCACCCACCCGCTCTCCATGCAAACATATCGGCTCGGCTCATTCACATCAGGTGGTGTGGGCCTGGCTTGGAACTGGATGTTTGTCTCGGCAACGACCCTCTTGGCCTCGTCATATCGCAAGGAGCCGCACGACGAGACGGCCAAGGTCCAAGGCTTCAATGAGATTTGCGTCTTCGGCCTGGCCGCCATTGGGTCGGGGGGCGGCGGCCTCCTGCTGGGCGGAATCGGGTGGGCCGGGGCGCTGCTGCTGTGCTGCGGGGTGCTCCTGATGACGACGCTCTACACCCTCAAGCACGCCTTACCTGACATGGGTAAGTGGTTGAGACGGCACAGCGGGGAGGGCCTGGGGGGGGCGGAGGTGGCATGTCAGAGTGCCTGATGGATGGATGGATGGAGAGTTGCAACCATTCGTGCATGGTACACGTTTAATGTAATGGCTGAAGAAGCCTGTCGCACCAGCCCAGCTGTTGTGTGACAGCCAGCCA